AGATGCTCAGACAAAAAACCAAACCAAAACCAAACCAAAAATGAAACCAACAAACCAAAAAAACCCCCAAATCAAAAAACAACTTTGACCTATCCTTTACTCCTCTGTTTCGCTCATACTCAGATCCAATCTGTCAGCAAACACTCTTGGTTCTACCTTCAAAATACACCCCATATCTGACCACTTACTTGGTGTACCTTTGTCTGGATCCTCCAGTCTAGTCTCAAAATAGCAGCACTGTGATCCTTCTACATGTAAATCAGATCATGACACTCTTCTGCGGAAAGCTGTCTAGTGGCTTCACTCAGAGTAAAAAGCCAAAATCCTTACAGTGGTCCTGTATTGTCTTATGTGATCACCCCACTCCTTCCCACATCCCCCTCTAACGTCTTGACCTGTTGACTACATCTCCTAATGCTCTCCCCCCTTTCTCTGCTACAGCCGCATTGACCTGCATGAGGTTCCCCAAACACATGAAGCTTACTCCTTCCTCACAGCCTCACACTTGCTGTTTCTTAGGTTCTTCCCCCAGGCAGCTATCCACATGGCTCCCCCGATAAAGGATGTTCACAGAAAACATCATACTGCTTAAAATTTCTCTTTGCTATGGGGCAAAAGACAAGTACTTTCATTTTCATTATTTCTATTCATCATTGCATTGTAATCCTAGCCAGTGCAGTAGGGAACAACAACAACAACAAAAAAAAAAACAAAACAAAACAAAACACAAAGATTGGAAGGAAATAAATACAAAATTTTTATTATTTACAAATGAAATGGTAGACTGTAAAGAAAATTCAATAAATCTATAGAAAAATAGAATTTAACAAGTTTACTAGAATATAAAATCAATACACAAAATCAGTTTTACATCTATAAACCACAAGGAATAGTTAGAAAATTAAAATTTTAGAAAGACACCAGTTAGAACATAATTAAGAGAGTGTGGTATGAGGGCAGGGAGAAATAGACCAGCAAAATATACTGGAGAATGCAGAAGCAGGCCAAGAACACTCGACATATGACAAAGGCGACAAATCAGTGATGAAGAGATGGGCTTTGTAATAAATGGTTCTGGAACAACAGATGATTAATATTTAACAAGATAAACCAGATCCCTACCTCACATCATACACAAAAAACAGTTGTAGGGGATTAAATGCTAAAATGTGTCAGGCAAAACTGTATGGTTTTTTAGAAGGTCAATACAATAAAATAGCTCTGTTTTTAGAGTAGGTAGGGTTTTGTAATACAAAAGTCACAAACCGTAAAGAAAATATCAATACATTTACCTACCCTAAGTTAAAAACTTTTGTTTATCAATGAATACCAAAAAGAGAGTGAACAGTCATATCAGAAATTTGGAAAAGGCATTAGCAACAAATATTGCCTTCAAAGAGTTAGTATCCCAAATATATAAATACTGCCTATGAATCAATGAGGGAAAGAACCCAACAGGAAAATGAGGAAAAGCCATTTCACGAATCAAGCAAACCACATGACCAGCAACCGACGAAATGCACATTATAAGAAGAGGTTCCATTTTATACTCATCAGATTAACAAAAACTTAAGTGTGACATTTTTGATCATTGGCAGGGTTGGAGCAAGAGAAACACTCATCCACTGCTGGTAGGAGTATAAAAACCTTTCTGGAAACCACTTGACATTACTTTAAAAAGCATGCATGTGTGTTTTCAGCTGTCCCACTCCTTGGTATAGATTCAGATAAACGGCACGTGTGCATGGGGGCGTGTGTGAGAATGTTCACGGCAGCATTGCCTGTAACAGCCGACAGCTGGAAATAGTCCCGAGTATCCTCTGTGGTGGTCTGCATCCGTAGGTTGTGAACATGATAATTTATATAGTATATATAAAGGAAAGAAAAAAATACATGTATGAAATTCTGTATAATAATGCCGTATAGTGGTAAAAATGAGTAACTACAAGATGCATTGACATAGAGCAGTCTCCTAAATATGGAGTGAAGGAAGCAAGTCTCACAAAAATACGTACAGTATCATTAAATTTATTTAAAATTCAAAAATAGGTAAAACTAAAAATAAATTATTTAGGTATGTATACATAGTAAAAATAAAGCAAGAAAATGATTGTGGCAAAGTTCAGTTTAGCTGATCCTCCCTCTGGGAGGGAGGAGGGAGGATGTGGTTGGGGAGAAACACACTGAAGATTCTCTGTATTAGACATCACGAGTTTGCTCATCCAGCCCTTCCTTAAATGGGATGTGAGAATGTCTCTGCAGTACACACCATGAGACTGCACATCAGCTCTTACCTTCATTTACCTGGATGTTGGAATTATTTATATATAAAATTAATACAGTCCTTATGTGATTATGTCTCCATTTAGGAAGGTAGAATAAATAAAACCTACAGACTAGGGGAAGACATTTTAACACAGCTGACAAAAGATTAACATCCAATATTTTGAAAAGATTCTTTTCAAATCATTAAGAAACATAAAATAAAATAATAATGAGATATCATTCTCACTCCTGCCAGATTGGCAAAAGTGGGAAAGTCGGACAAAACCACTGCTGGCGAGGATATGTAAAAACTGTAACTCTTAGTACTTCTGCGTATGTAAATTGGTAGAACTGCTTCAGAGAACAGGTGGCAACAGGTGGTGAATGCGAAGATACGCACACCCTTTGACCTAGCGCCTCCACCCCTCACACATACTGCAGGAGGACATGAGCAAGACTGCTGCATCGCTATTGCAAATTGTTGGGAACAACCCAAATACCCATTGTGGGTAGGATGAATTTTTAAACTGGTATGTTTATCCAATGTAATACTATTCAATACAGTTAGAGCTACATCTATCAGCATGGATAAGTCTCAGAAAAATAATATTGAGCAAAAAAAAATCAAATTGAGGACATGTATAGTATATTATATAGATAGTATATTATATATTATATAAATTTTCAACAAGCAAAGTAAATAGTGTTTGTGAGTACCTGCATAAGAGCAATAGTTTAAAAGCATGCATAGGAACCATTGACATAAAATTCAGGAGAGCAGTTACCTCTGGGGAAGGGGGGAGTATAGATACCAGAGAGGAACATCCATGAACTTGAACTGTCATTCTAATATTCTATTCTTTAGAATGAAATTGGAAGCAAAATGTTAAGATTTGGTAAGTGGGTACATGTTTGTTCATTATATTGCTCTTTATGGTTGCCTGTATGTTGAAACATTTACAAACCCCAGGAACCATTTTTTAATTAAGCAAAAGCGTTCTTCTATGGATCACTCCTGACCTAAGAGGTGGGGATGGTGAAGAGCAGCAGAATGGAGCACATGGTGGCCTTGGAATGCCAGAGTTGCAGCAGAAGGCACAGAAAAATAAAAGGAAGTGGCCATCTCCAGCATTTTTACTCCATATACAAGCTGTAACACAGCTCTCTGAAGTGGGAGTCCGGAGAAAGACCGACCCCAGATGGGAGCTGGTGCCAGAGAGGAAGGGCAAGGAAGTGGGTCAGACTGCAAGCCCGTACCCAGAGGGAAGTCTCCCGCCCATCCCACCTCTTCCTCCACACCACTAGAGGCAGCATGCAGGCTGCAGACAGGAACTTACATTTGGGATGAGGAAATACACCCCGTAAAACTATTGTGAAGCGTTAACAAAGCCTCATAAAATATTCGAAGGACGTAGGGAGACACCCAAAAACAGTAAAGAGATCTACTGACCATTAAATTAACAGAAGAAACAGAAAAAAACATAATAGCTACGGAGATTCAAGAATATCACATTCAACCAATTAAAGAAAAACAGGCTATTATGAAAAAATAACAATTGGAATTCTTGGAAATTGAAAATGTAAATTAAAAAAAAACTCTCTTGAGTTGGAATATTTAGCCAAGAGAATACATTGCAAGAAGATGAAGAGATGGAAAGTTCTACAGAAAAACTTAGGAGACAGGGACGTATGAATATAGATGCGTATGTGCACATCTGTTTAATGGCAGCTCCCAAAGGAGAGAGAAGGACTGAGGGTGGGGGCAAGCATTTTGTATATCCGAAGGTAATGAAGGTTTTCCTCCCTAGAAATTAAACAGAGGCAATGTTCACAATATCCAGGTCTTTCTTCCTGCTGGGTTTTATAAGAAATAAAAATACCTTTGGCCGTTCTCTGTCTCACCCTGCATCCTGACATTTCTATCTTATTGCAATAAAAAGGGAACAGAGAGATCTGACCCAGACCAGGCGTTCCTTATTTTGTCAGTTTCCCCAAACACTATGGCTCCATCCACCCCCATCCCCACTGAAGGTGGCATTTTCAGATTGGACCAAGTTTTGTCAGCCTTCAGCATCCTTGGGTATCTATACTTTTATTTTGGCAGTGTACTATTTTCATGGTTTTGGTGGTGATATACAAATAATTAAACCTTTCTTTATCACTGGAATTAAATATGTCTTTATAAACAGCCAGATATGAAAGTTTACATAAATTGCGTTTCAATATATAATTGTTTGGGAGCACTTTGGAGAAATGACTGCTATTAAGAAGGTATATTATAGAGTAAAACTTTACAAATTAACTGTTTGTCATGCCAGGTCTTGCACAGTCGGGTTCCTGGGGCTGTTTTGATGAATTTAACAGAATTGAATTGCCTGTACTGTCAGTGGCGGCCCAACAAATTTATATTGTTTTGACAGCAAGAAAAGAGAGAAAAAAACAGTTCATTTTTTCTGATGGTGATTGTGTTGATTTAAATCCAGAATTTGGAATCTTCTTAACAATGGTGAGAACATAGGCTTTAAATGCAATTCAATTAGTTTAATTGTTATAGACTTAAAGAAAGCATGTATCAGTGGATAAATGATTGACTATCCAAGAGTCATGAGCTATTCTCTCTTATTGTATGATTTTTTAAAATTTTCTCTCTGTCCCTCCCTCCCTCCAATGTATGGTTTTTTTGAATAGCACATATAACCCAGACAGAACATAAAATAATAATATGTTAATGATAATAGTAGCTATTGTTTATTGAGCACTTAGTATGTGTAAGGTAGGGGCTAAATGCTTTATGTATGTATGGAACAGCATACCTCATGCTATTCTGCAGCAACACACAATCCCCGAATCTTAATTGCTTAAAACCACAAAGATTTATTTCTCCCCCATGCCGCATGTCCGCTGTGGGTTAACTGGGGTAGGGGCAGGGAGGCCAGGCTGCTTTACATGTCGTTACTCTGGTACTCGGGCTGACAAGGTAGCTACTGTCTCCATCATTGCTGGATGCTGTAGCAGAGGGAAAACAGAACATGAAGAATCATGCTCTGGTCCTTAGAGTTTCTTTCCAGAAGTGACACAAGTAACAAGTCATTGGCCAAAGCAAGTGTCATGGCCATACCTAACTTCAAGGGGGTGGGGAAGTACAGTCCTGTCAGAAGGAGGAAGAACCTGAACTATTTGGTCAGTAACACTAATGATTCTCACACATCCATTATCTCATCTTACAGCTCTGATAGGCTATGAGGTGGATGTTCTATAGCTGAGCTACCTGAGGCTCAGGGAGACTTAAAAGTTTGCTCAAGTCACACAACTAGTAAGGGGAAGAGGTTATTGTCTCTCTAACATCAAAACCTGACTGCTTAACCTCTGTACTTGTTTTTTCTCTGACACTGACTAAAAGGGAATGACTTAAAATTCCAAAATAATTTAACAAGCTCCTATACCAAAGAACTACAACAAATTCAGTTACCATATGGTCGAGGGCAGAGCTTTGAGATTCAGTATTGTAAAGACAGAAAACCAAAGGCATGAGTAAACAGGAGTTTCTATGAGTTGGGGAAATGAAGTTCATGTTGAACCAGTTTTAATGTTTTTATATGTTATCTATAAAGTTAAATCTCCAAGTTGCAAGATAACACAAAGGACTCTGAGTTTCAAATGTCCCAGTGGACAAAGATAAATTATAGGAAGCAAAATCAGAAATGTTTCTGATAAACTTTATTATAAGCAAACATCCATTAAAACAGTTATGGGAAAATAATAATACTAATAATCCAAAAGTGATTGATTATAACTCAGGAAGCGGGATGAAGAAATTTACTCAGTGTGAAGCCATGGCCTAGAAGAATTTAACAGAAGTTTAACATTCTCCCTGGATTAAGAATAATATTGGAAATAGCAATTATAAATATCGCACTAAGCTGTGAATAACTGAGACACACAAAAAATCATAGCTTAACATATACGGGTTTATTCTCTTAAGATCCCCCTCTGGTTCCACTCCATCACGCATTCATCTCCAGGGTCACCTTATGAGCCAAGATGCTACAGAAAGCATCTCTCTTTTGGTGCATCCTATTGATTGAATTAACTTCCTTCAAAGAAACGTCAAGGATATTTCATACAATGTGTCCCTTTGCGCTGCACTGTGTAAAATTTAATCATACCAGCTGCAAGGCAGGCTGGGAAATGTACTTTTTAATGAGGATGGTGATGTGCCCAGCTTGCAGCTTGGGTTCTGTGGCTAGGGGAGGAGGAGTATTGAGAGGCAACCAGCAGTCTCTGTGTTTCCAGCACCTACCAAAGTATCTGGCCTATTAACAGTGCCCCGTAAATGTTTGTGGGACTGAAGGTTTCCCAGTGAACTTGCCTAAAATAACTGACTCCTGTTTGCCTTGCTTGTCTTTGAACTTCCAACCTTTCCTTTGGGACTTTTGGGTCAGACCTATTGTAGGAGGCCTTAGTTTCCTTTCCACCTCTACTTCTTTCCTTTTCAGTATTTTTTGTGTCATTCCCTTCTTTATTTCCCTTTACCATGGGTTTTTGTCAGCCAAAGAACTCTGTAGCTATGACTGCAAAGAATAATTGAAGAGATGAAATAAAAAATACCTGAGTAGGCTGATCAGTATAAAATCCTGAGGTCTTTTTTTTCCTTTTTCAATCGATAACATATCTTAGACCATAATTATCTAGGTATTTAATCTGTTTTCTCTTCTATTCTCTCATTTTCTTTTCTATTTTTTAAGCCAGTAGACACACAGATGCTTAATTTTTGCTACACAAAAACTGTGTATGTGACTTTATTACTATAATGAAAGCAGAAAGTATAAAAGGGAATGATGTGAAAATTAATAAATATGGATGGCCCAATACACATTTTTGAGAAAACAAGGACATTTTATGAATCTAATATTTTTCAATACCACGTGAACTAATGGTTTGAAATCTATTTGTATCGAGGAAATGAAGATTGTATCAACAGTTAAAAATTAAATATGTTTTAATTTTTAGAACCCTGGATATGCTGGGCGCCAGGAACTACCAGAAAACTTAAAAATCCTGTTTAGAACGGTTGCTATGATGGTTCCTGATAGACAGGTATGCACCAGGATTTAAAAGCATAATATAATTTTTATTCTTTACTGCTTTTCACTAAAGTTGTTGGAAAAAAATCTCACTGTATTAATTTTCAGATCATTATGAGAGTTAAACTTGCAAGCTGTGGTTTTCTTGAAAATGTTATCTTGGCTCAAAAATTTTACGTTCTTTACAAACTCTGTGAACAACTTACTAAACAGGTAACTTTATATATTTATTTTTACCCTAGCTATAGAATTTGGTTTTTCGTTTTGCAATTTTACCTTGATAAATGCTAATCAGTGAGTTAAGAAAAAAATCCCATTGACTCTTTTCTAAAATGTATGTATAAATAATCTGACCTGTTGGTTGTATTTTTAAAACCTTTTTATTCTGAAATAAATGTAGATTCACAGGAAGTTGCAAAGAAATATACAAGGTGGTGTATACCTTTCACATTGCCTCCCCCAATGTTGACATCTGGTAGCTATAGGACAATGACTAAACCAGAAAATTGACACTGGAACAATCCACAGAGTTCATTAAGGTTTCACCACTTATCTATGCACGTGTGTATGTGTGTGTGTAGTCCTGTGGAATTATGGGACATGTGTAGATTCATGTTCCTACATGTCACTACAATCAAGATACAAAACTGTTTCATCACAAGTTCCCTCATGCCACCCCTTTATAGCGACACCCACCTTTCTCCCAAATCTCTAACCTGTTGCCACCATTAACCTTTTCTCCATCTCTATAATTTTATTTCAAGAATGTTGTGTAAATGGAATCATATATACAGTATGTAACCTGCTGATTAGATGTTTAAAATCTATTGTGTTTTGCTCAGACCATATTATTCTCAAAAGATATTTAAGATGTGAATACTGTGTCATATAGCTTGGTTTTTCCGATGGAATGATCATTTTTCAGGCAAAGGAAAGGCAGGAGAATTGAGCTAATAAAACTTTGCCACTCAGCCACTCTAAAACTCTGGTATATAGGTATCAGAGTGTTATATGTATAGAGTGAGTCTACATTTAGTTTTTCAATTAAATAATATTTTTTCCCTCTTTTGCCATCTTAGGTTCATTATGACTTTGGGTTGAGAAATATTCTGTCTGTATTGAGGACTCTTGGATCTCAAAAAAGAGCCAGACCCGAAGATAGTGAATTAAGCACTGTCATGAGAGGACTAAGAGATATGAACCTTTCTAAATTGGTATCTTTATTCTCTGAATTCACTTCTCATCCAAGATTTTGACCTGGTTTCTTTCTGTTCAGCTGACAAGTGGGGGTTGAGTCATATGGAGCTGTGAGCACTAATAATTGCAGGGTGTGCGAAGCTGCCACTATGCTTCCAGGAGGCGGCAAAAAACCCTATGACCCTGTACCACCAATAAGCACTGGAAGTGCCTCCTTTTTTTTTTTTTTTTTTGAGACAGTCTCTCTCTGTTGCCCAGGGCTGGAGTGCAGTGGCGTCATCATAGCTCACTGCAACCTCAAACTCCTGGGCTCAAGTGATCCTCCTGCCTAGGCCTCACAAAGTGCTGGGATTACAGGAGTGAGCCACCGTGCCTGGCCAAGTGCCTCCTCTTGTCACTTGTGTACAATAAAACAGGTTATCAGTGGGTTTCAGCTCCAAAATTCAACCTAGTTCTCTACCATTATTCATAATGTGACACACACTCTAAACATGAAAATCTGGATTCACAGGGAACCATGAGAACGTTTTGCTTTCTTTGTACATGATTAGCTTATCTCAGGTATGTCTCTCCCGAAACAACACATTCCTATTTTCCAAAGGTGTACTAAAACTTAGCTGTGGAAGTTGTGAGAATTCTCTCTCGGCTCTTGTGCTTGTCACAGGTACAGCCAGGTGGTTTGGAGCTAGCTGATGGACAGGTTCACGTGGTGTTTGTTCTGTTCTGTTGAGGGGCTTCTACGGGCCTCATCTTGTGCCCATGCCCTGGGTGTACAAGGTTGAGGAAGAAATGGTTCTTCAGAAACTCACATTCTAGTTACACAAACAAGTGACATCTGTAGAGTTCATTACGATTAAATCACAAAGCCTTTTCAGGCGTGTTGTCTCGTTTGAACCTCACAGCGACTCTGGGATACGGATGGCTAGTTTGCTTATTGTTATTTTACTCACGGGGGAACCAGATTCAGGGGGTTGGAGGACTCACCCATAATCACACTCAGCTGAGAAGTTGGAACAAAAGCCCGGAAGACTTTCTGACACCAAATCCTCTGCTCCTTCCAGTACACCTCACTGCCTCCCTTAGATAATATTATCCTTGAAACTCCTAGATAAGTATTCAAGAAAGCATCAGTGAAGTCCTAGAGAATAAGGAGAAATCAGAAGGGGTCAGAGGTTGGGAATGGGGCAATCTGTGTATTAAAGACACAGCAGATAAGGACTGGAGTCGGTTTGCTCAAACCTACTGCTGATAGGAAAGGCTGAGAACACTGCCCTGATGGCGTTTCCCAGCCAATGCTGGATGAAGTTATGCAATTTTTTTCCCAATTTAAAAAAATAAAATATGAATACTCCATTCTCATGGGATTGGGACTATAAATTGCTATTTGTAAGGTTAATGCACATGCTGGTCTGTGAGAAGCAGAGCATTCATATGATAAAGTAATGAGATCAGACCTTGGCATGGTAGATTGAGGCTGGATTGTAGAGGATGTCAAACACCAAGGAAATCTGGGTACAATGTGGATTTGGTGGTGGTGCTCAGGAGAAAGTACTAGAGGATACAAGACTGATTAGGAGAGTGACACATGATTCTCTGGGCATGAAGTGATAAGCGCTATGCAGATCCTAGCTAGCTGGTAAATGTTTGTTGACGGAATGAGTGAGTTTATGTTAACCTGTGTCACCTTAGGTTGATGAAGACGAACCCCTATTCCTCAGCTTGATCAATGACCTGTTTCCAGGGCTGCAACTGGATAGTAGTACTTACGTGGAACTGCAAGCTGCAGTAGCCAACCAGGTTCAGATAGAAGGTTTGATTAACCATCCACCCTGGAACCTCAAACTTGTGCAGGTAAAGAAATTTTCATTTTTTGTCAGTATAAACGGTAAGCGTGTGTTAAAGATCACCATTTGAGGCCGGGCGCGGTGGCTCACGCCTGTAATCCTAGCACTCTGGGAGGCCGAGGCGGGCGGATCATTTGAGCTCAGGAGTTCAAGACCAGCCTGAGCAAGAGTGAGACCCCTGTCTCTACTAACAATAGAAAGAAATTAGATGGACAACTAAAAATATATAGAAAAAATCAGCCGGGAATTGTGGCTCATGCCTGTAGTCCCAGCTACTCGGGAGGCTGAGGCAGGAGGATCGCTTGAGCCCAGGTTGCTGTGAGCTAGGCTGATGCCATGGCACTCTAGCCCAGGCAACACAGTGAGACTCTGCCTCAAAAAAACAAAACAAACAAAAAAAAACCCCACCATTTGAATAGATGAACTCGTGCTATTATTCTTATTTGATGTAAATGCTGAAACTAAATTGAAACTCCACATGTGTACATCATTGCAAGAGGAGTCCTCAGGGGTGTGTTTTTGTGTTAGAGGGACAGTTGGATTTACCCTGCCTCACGGTAATCAAGCAGTAATCTGTTACTTACAGCTGGTGAGAAGGTTTGGATGGGATGGTAGGGTATAAAAACCCTGTGAGATGGAACAAACCAACTGGCTTCTTGCACCAGTCTGGCAGTATTGCCCACAGCTGGGTGCCTAGTGGGGCACAGAGCCTGAGGACTCTGCGAGTGCTATACTCTGCTCTGCTTCGTGTGTGACGAGCTGTATCCTTCACCTGCACTGGAACCTGAATCCTTTGCCTGTGTCTCTTAGTGTCTTTTTCTCGCTCACATTTCATCCTTGTGATAACCGCCCGACAACTGTATCAGCAGGGTCAAGAACCTGTAGCAGAGACACAGGATTAAATCTCAATGAGCTGGATGCTTTCGGAGTATTTTCCAGGGCTTTTGGAAGATGAGGGGCCGAAATTGTGGAGAGTGTTAAAAACTGTGTTTGAAAAATAACAATTCTTATTTTAACTTACTGTTCTTGCCAGATTATAAGATGTGCAAGTATATGAGGCATATGTCCAAACCTTACAAAGAAATCGGCACATAGGGAAACGTTTAAATATTTTCCATCTGTGTAGAAAACCATTTTAAGTATTTTTTTTAAAAATTTGGGGAAAATATATATGTTATGCATACAATACACCAAATACTAAAATCCTAGTCATCTCAATGGGTGGGGCCTAGAGCTTTGTGTTCTTTGTCGGTGTCCATAATGTTGCTCTTGAACATAATGTCATGGCCAGTGCCTCTATCGCTTTTAAACTCCGGGTTACATAGTAACACATTTCTATCCAAAATGTTAGGAGAATAACTCAGATTCTACCTCTGAACAGCTGCGAGACATTTGACTTCTTATCTTTGCTATTGACTTCTTATCTTTGCTAAGATAGTGATCATAAGACTGACGGAATTGACTCTTTGTGACAATAAGATACCAAGTTATAGACAGGACCTAAGGCCATGCCAGGCAAGGGTTAAGTCACTCACCCCCTACACTTAAAGGATAAACTGTGTTCTAACTGCCACAAGGGTTTCTTTTTCCCTAGCAGCTAAGCAAGCACTGGCCTGGAGATAAGCAATGTTGAAGCAATTGCAGTTCACTGACCACCTGACACCTGCCCCCTCCCCCCACCATTCCACAGGCCATAACTACAGCTTTGATAGGACTAGACACTGATTTCAGTAACTTTCTCTTGTTAAGAGACCATCAGCCATGGGCTGGTTCTGGGTGATTTACAGAGGCTGCACACCTGAGTGCCCTGGTGTCCCTGCTTCACCTTTTGACATATGGGGCCTAACTGTAATGCATTTAAATATTAAGTCTCCACTCCAAAGTGAAAATGAGTTGCATGTAACATGCATGTTTGCTTATCACGCATGTGCATGTCTCCCCGCTGTGAATATTCATAGCCCCTCCTACCTGTTGAATATGTATACTTGGCCAACCCTGTCAGCATAAATTCTGTTCACCCTCCACTCCCTTGAAGTGCCTGCTTTTCCTTCTCTGCCAGAGGCTGTGCTTCCCAACCTGTCAGGATGGCCAGCCTGCAGGTTGTGACCCTTTGTAAGAAAGAAAGCTCTCCTCTCCAAATT